ATCCATCTGATGACAGTTGGTAAGTAAGTGTGTAAAAAGTGAGTAACACCAATATTTTCCATGAAAAACAAACAAAAATTGAACACTTGTAATCTTGAGGTGATTACTCATGTTTTGGCTAATGCCTCTACAAGTTGGTTAAATAAGTACCTTTTAAACTTTGATGGATACTCTTTATTTTAAGGATATGTCTAAGACCCTCATAGCAAATGCCATGGCTTTTCAATAAGTTTAATATACTCAAATTTATAAATCATTCAATATATTTTTGGGAAAAGTTGGGAAATTCAAAGCACTCTAGAAAATGTCCAATATGGTACCTAATAATTGGTTTGAGGCATTTAAATGAATAAATAAATTGAACATTCAATTATTCCGTTGCACCAGCCATATTTCAAATGCTCAACATTCACTCATGGTGAGGGGCGACTGTACTGGGCCGCCCAGATATACAGCCTTCTGTCATAGGGAGCTCTGTTGACAGCCTTGCTCTCAATGGACTATGGAACTCATGTCAGGTGCCGAAGAATAATTTATAATGAAGGTGCCTTCATGATTTTTCCCACAGCACCAGATTTCCAACCATCTGAAATATGGATGTGTGTAATCGAATGAAAACACTTAATGAATGAAAACACAGCTCTGTGTGGTGGATCAGGCACAAATATTTCCAGTTCCAAAAGGAAATATTGCTTCCCACATGTCAGATGTCTGACTGTGCATACTCTCTGGCATTAAATTTCCGGGTAGTAAATTCTTTTCTAGAAGAGCGCATGGGAAAAGGACTGTGGAAGTTACATAATCTGTTTTCAGTTTGAGACTTAAGGGTGAGGGGTGGTGTTTTGCTTGTCAATCAGGTCGCAGCTTGATGATCTCATTTGGAGGCACTAAGGAGATAAATAGCTCTCTGGAGGCAGGACACATGCTCACTACCTGCCAGAGATGCTTGCTGACAAGACACCTAGAGCTATGCGAGAGCCCTGAAGCTCAAGGAGCCATGTGGGGCCCCTGCCCTTGCTGAGATGCCTCTCCCGCCACTGGATCCACAAGACT